CTCCCCCTGAACATTTTAACCTGACATTGCTCAAAATCTAACTGTAATTTACCTCCCCCTGCACCATGACTTGACTGTAATCTCTAAATTCCAATGACCCTTAATGCACTCATGGTTACTGAGATGTTCCTTGCTGTGTGCTCTTGACTAACTAGAGCCTTGAGAATCTGGTTTGCCTTCCCAGTGAAGTTCTAAGCTTCAGAAGGAAACTCTGTCTTTTACTTTATTTTGTAACCCCTTATCTCTGAGCACAGTGCTGTGCACTCAAAAGATACAAGTTTACATGATATGGTTTTAAAGATAAGTTTCTCAGAAATGATTTTTGAAAATTGATACTATTAAAAAATAAATGGCATGTAACTATTCAAATTAGGCTGGCAAGGAGTCTTTTTATGAATTAATAATGACTTCCTAATTTTTCGTTTTGAATGAATGGAATATGTTACTGTCTGGTTTAAGGTAAATACCTCCTATTCTAATACTACAATCTAGTCACTAATTCATGTTTATTTGTTAATTCATATTTTTGTTGCTGCTTGGTTTGTAATTTTAATGTTTGGCTTTCAGTGGATGAAAATTCCCTTATTTTATTTATAAGAATGTTTTATGTCAGTAAGTAAAATACAATTTCATTTTTGCCTAGAATATTTGCTTATAAAGTATGCTTCAATTAAAACACTTTTTGACGGTCATTTTAAATGCCCATATTTAATCCTTTCTTTATAAAAAGCAAATCCTCACAGTTCTTACTCTTAATTATTGTAGTTTGTTTCAACCAGCAATAATCAATACACACAAACAGATTTTGCTAAAACATGGTCCACTCTACTGGAAATGTGGGGCAATTCTACTTAGAGAAATCTGTCCTGTGGCCTGCAGCTAGAGTGAAGACGAAACTCCAAAAATGAACTTATTTTAAGAGTGTACTTCCTGAATCTGGATTCAGAGAAAAATGACTCAAGAAGTGTTTGCTGCCAGCAGTTAGTGTTTTGGAGGACAGGAAGAGTTACAGCATGCTCCTCTAGTACTGCTGTGTCGTCATGAGGTCACACGATTGTTTAATTTAATGCTCTGTGTTTCCTACAGTACTCTGGCAGGCCCCTCAATAAAGCAATTAAAATTGGACTGTTTTCTTAGCCCAGAGCTAGGACTGTCAACCAATAATTTGATTCCTTCTTACACAGCTAAAGAGAGTTTTCTTTCCGTACATGTGGAAAGCAAAAGATAGCACGTTGTGTTTGCCACAAACCAGACCAAATTACCGGGGGGTGGGGGGGGAGCAAAAACCTTTCTAGAACCTTAATTTCCACCTCTCTCCTACCCTCCCAATCGTAGTGAGGTCAAAAACCACAACTAATGAATTACTGGAGAAAGAGGGGGAGAGGAAAGGAGGAGGAGAAGAAGGAGGAGATAGAAGAGAGAAAATAAACTGACCACATAGCCTTCCAAACTTCAGGCTTCTAAATGTGTATCAGGCTGGGAGACAAGAGAAACTTTACAGTTAAATGTAGTTCAATCCTTAGTTTAATAGGATTAAAATTTAATTGGTGACAGGAGACTGCTTTT